GCTCGCCAGGTACAAAAGAAAGTTATTTCTCCATCGAATTGTGACTGGCGATGAAAAGTGGATATATTTTGAGAATCCTAAGCGTAAAAGATCATGGGTAACTCCAGGGGAACCATCGACATCGACTACAAAGCCAAATCGCTATGGACGGAAGACAATGCTCTGTGTTTGGTGGGATCTAAAAGGTGTGATCTATTATGAGCTGCTAAAACCTGGCGAAACCGTTAATACTGAACGCTACCGACAACAAATGATCAATTTGAATGAAGCTTTACGTGAAAAACGACCGGAATATCAAAAAAGGCAACACAAAGTGATTTTGTTTCATGATAATGCACCATCACACACAGCAAAACTGGTCAAGGAAACGATTGAAGCGTTAGGAAATACTTTTGCATGCAGCTTACCAGACTTGGCTCCGTCCGATTACTACTTATTTGCATCGATGGGACTCGCACTTGCTCAGCAGCGCTTCACTTCTTACGAAGATGTACGAAAATGGCTAGATGACTGGTTTGGCTCAAAAGAGCAACAATTTTTTTGGCGTGGCATCTACAAATTGTCAGACAGGTGGGAAAAATGTATAGCTAGCGATGGGCAATACTTCGAATAAAATATTTTTTATTATTTTCATGTAATGAACGTGTATTTTCTATTAAAAAAATTCCGGTTTCATATTTACATACCTGGTATACTAGTAATTATACTTGTCCATAACTATTATATGCAATTGTATTCAATTTTCACATTACTATAACTTAAATTTATGTTACGTCACGTTATGTTATGTTTTATATTCTGTAATCCAACTTTTATATTATAATATATTGTTAAATTTATGTTGTATGTTTGTTTTTGAGTTTTAATAACTGTAATTCTTCACTCTCTCTTTCTGATAGGTGTTAGAGCAGCAGACTTTGTTGGTGCCTCACAATTTTGTGCGCCTGTACACTTAATTTTTCTCGTTTAACTCTGTTTTTCGCTATGTTTTGTTTATTTTGTAATTAATACACAAATAAATAAAATTTAATTTAATTTTGTTCATATTCTTGACTAGTGAAATGGAAATAATAAGAAACTCCACGCATTCCAGGATTGTTATGTTTTAAACAAAACGTTTAAAACGGCTTGTTTAAAACATGTTTAAAACATTGGGCATTGTTTAAAACACTTTTATTTTAAACGTTTTTAAACTATTGTTTAAAACTGTTTAAAAACACCGCAATTAAAACATGTGATTTGGAAAAGAAATTGTAAAAAATAAACAAAAAAAATAATTGTATGTTGCAAAAATCTTGTTTTTATTTATTTATATATTATATTTAGTTTGTACGCTGATCGTTCAATACTCATACTGACTAGTAATTTCGTTTAAAATTATTTTAATATCGGCAGTGTGCGTACTGTATTCAAAGAATGGTGTATCAAAAACTAAAATAATACAATAAATATCAAGATAATCAATTAAATACATGTAATGTGTATTAAATTAATAGAAAGTTGACAATGCATGCTTTCCATTTGATGACACAACTACACAAGTTGACACAAGTCGACACAAGCGTCGTCCTATCCTTCTTGACATTCAGAAAGTGACAACAATAGAATGACACTTGTGTCGACTTGTATCATCAAATGGAAAGCACCCAATAACTACACTATACATTTGCATTATTGCCACTTACTTCGTGATGAATTGCAGCATTTAGACTGGTAATTAAAATAAAAAACGAAATTGAAATGAAATAATAAAAATGATAGATTCCAGAA